AGGAGTCTCAGTAATATGGCTAATATTAAATTGCTGACAAAAAGTCTCAAATGCTCAACTCCGATAGCCAGTTCCATTATCTGTTATTATTATTTATTATTATTAATTATTGTTATTGGATAATTTATTTATCTACATTTTAGATGTAATCTCTTTTCCCCAACCCCAGAAATTCCTTATCACATCCCCTCTCTTCCTACTTTTATGAGGGTGTGCCCCCACCCATCCACCCACTCCTACCACCCCACCCTGGAATTCCCTCACATTGGGGCATCCAGCTTTCACAGGATCAAGGACTTCCTCTCTCACTGATGATTGACAAGGCCATCTACCACTACATATACAGCTGGAGCCATGGGTCCCTTCATGTGTCTTCCCAGGCTAGCTGTTTAGACCCTGGGAGCTCTGGTTGGTAGGTATTGTCACTCTCCCCATGGGGCTGCAAACACCTTCAACTCATTGAGTCTTTTTTTCTAACTTCTCCATTTGGGATCCTATGATCAGTTTAATGGTTGGCTGCAAGCATCCACCTCTGTTTATGTCAGGCTCTGGCAGAGCCTCTCAGGAGACAGCTGTATCAGGCTACTGTCAGCATGCACTTCCTGGCATCACTGTAGTGTCTGCCTTTGGTGACTGCACATGGGATAGATACCTAGGTGGGTCAGTCTCTAGAAGGCCTATCCTTCAGTCTCTGCTCCATACAGTCTCTGTATTTGCTCCTGTGAGTATTTTGTTTCTCCTTCCAAGAAGAACCAAAACACCCACACTTAGGTCTTTCTTCTTTTTCTTGAGCTTCATGTGGTCTGTGAGTTATATCTTTGGTATTGTGAGCTTTTGGGCTAATATCCACTTATCAGTGAATCTTATTTGTGATTGGGTTACCTCACTCAGGATGATATTTTCTAGTTCCACCCATTTGCCTAAGAATTTCATGAATTCATTATTTCTAATAGCTGAGTAGTACTCCATTGTGTAAATGTAACACATTTTCTAATTTCATTCATTTGTTGAAGAACATCTGGGTTCTTTCCAGCTTCTGGCTATTATAAATAAGGCTGCTATGATCATAGTGGAGCATGTGTTCTTGTTATATGTATGTTGGAACATCTTTTGAGTTTATGCCCAGGAGTGGTATGACTGAGTCCTCAGGTAATACTATGTTCAATTTTCTGTGGAACCGCCAGACTCATTTACAGGGTGGTTGTACCAGCTTGCAATCCCACCAACAATGGAGGAGTGTTCCTCTTTCTCCACATCATCACCAGCATCTGTTGTCAGCTGAGTTTTTGATCTTCGACATTCTGACAAGTGTGAAGTAGAATCTCTTGGTTGTTTTGATTTGCATTTTCCAGATGACTAAGGATGTTGAACATTTCTTTTGGTGACTCTTGGCTATTTGATATTCCTTAGGTGAAAATTCTTTGCTGAGCTCTGTACACCATTTTTTAGTAGGATTTTTGATTATCTGGAATCTAATTTCTTGAGTTCTTTGTATATTTTGGATGTTAGCCCTCTATCAGATGTAGGATTGGTAAAGATTTTTTTCCAATCTGTTGGTTGCCATTTTGTCCTACTGACAGTGTCCTTTGCCTTACAGAAGTTTTACAATTTAGTGATGTCCCATTTGTCAACTTTTGATTTTAGAGCATAAGCCATTGGTATCCTGTTCAGGAACTTTTCCCCTGTGCCAGTGTGTTCAAGGCTATTCCCCACTTTTCTTCTATTCATTTCAGTATATCTGGTTTTGCATGGAGATACTTGATCTACTTGGACTTGAGTTTTGTATAAGGAGATAAGAATTGATTGATTTGTGTTCTCTACATTCTTACCTCAAGTTGAACCAATACCATTTGTTGAAAATGCTGTCTTTTTTTCACTGAATGGTTTTAGCTGCTTTGTCAAAGATCAAGTGACCATAGACATGTGAGTTCATTTCTGAGTCTTCTATTCCATTGATCTTCTTGCCTACCTCTCTAACAATACAATGCAGTTTTTATCACTATTTCTCTGTAAAACAGTTTGAGATCAAGGATGGTAATTTTCCCATAAGATTTCTTAAATTGAGAGTAGTTTTTGCTATCCTGGTTTATTTGTTATCCCAAATAAATTTTCAAATTGCTTTTTCTAATTTTGTAAAAAATTGAGTTGAAGTTTTGATGGAGATTGCATTGAATCTGTAAATTGCTTTTGGCAAGTGGCCATTTTTACAATATAAATGCTGTCAATTCATAAGTATGGAAGATCTTTCCATCTTCTGAGATCTTCTTCAATTTCCTTCTTCAGGGACTTGAAGTTCTTGTCATACAGATCTGGCACTTGCTTGGTTAGATTCACACCAAAGTATTTTATATTATTTGTGACTGGTTTGAAGGGTGTCATTTCCCTAATGTCTTTCTCAGCCTGTTTTATTTGTTTGATTTAATTTTATATCCAGCCACATTGCTGAAGTTGTTTATCAGGTTTAGGAGTTCTCTGGTGGAAGTTTTGTTGTCATTTTAGTATACTATCATATCATCTGCAAATGGTGATATTTTTACTTCTTTCTTTTCAATTTGTATCCCTTTGACCTCCTTTTCTTGCCTGATTGCTCTAGCTCAGACTCTGAGTACTATATTGAGTAGGTGTGGAGGTAGTGGGCAGCCTTCTCTAGTCCCTGATTTTAGTGGGATTGCTTCAAGTTTCTCTCCATTTAGTTTGATGTTGGCTACTGGCTTGCTGCGTATTGCTTTTACTATGTTTAGGTTTGGGCCTTAATTCCTGTTATTTCCAAGACTTTTACCATGAAAGGGTATTGAATTTTGTCGAATGCTTTCTCAGCATCTAGTGAGATGATCATGTGATTTTTTTCTTTGAGTTTGCTTATATAGTGGATTACGTTGATGGATTTTCATATATCAGACCATCCCTGCATTCCTGGGAGAAAGCCTACTTGATCATGATGGATGATTGTTTTTAGGTGTTCTTGGATTTGGTTTGTGAGAATTTTACTGAATATTTTTGCATCAATATCAAATTGGTCTGAAGTTCACCAATTTGGGTCGTTGGGTCATTGGGTGTTTTAGGTATGAGTGCAATTGTGGCTTCATAAAAGATGAATCTGTACCTGAGATTCTCTCTTCTATCTCTTTTATTCTGTTGGTGATGCTTGCATCTATGACTCCTGATCTATTTCCTAGGATTTCTATCTCTTGGTTAGTCTCCCTTTGTGATTTTGTTATTGCTTCTACTTCCAGTTTTAGATCCTGGGTGGTTTTGTTACATTTTTTCATCCATTTGATTGTGTTTTCTTGTAATTCTTTAAGAGATTTTTTGTGTTTCCTCTTTAAGGGCTTCTACCTCTGTTCTTCTGTATTACTTTGAGGGGGTTATTTATGTCCTTCTTGACATCCTCTTTCACCCATGTGAGAATTTATTTTAAATCTGAATCAGGGTTTTTTGGTGTCATGGAGTATTCAGGACTTTCTATGATGGGAAAATTGGGTTCTGATGATGCCACATAACCTTTGTTTCTCTTGCTTAGGTTTTTTGTGCTTCCCTTTTGCCATCTGGTTATCTCTAGTGCTACGTGCATTCACTATCTCTGACTGGAGCCTGTCTGTCTGTCTTGGCTGTATCAGAACTTGTCAGAGTCCAGTTGCCTCTGTGATCCTGTGATCCTGAGATCCTGGGTTTAAGAGTTCCTGAGAGTCAGGCTGCTTTTCAGATTCCTGAAATCCTGCTGTGGCCAAGACCCTGAGATCCTGTGATACTATTATCCTATGTTCCTGGGTGTGTTAGAGCTACTGGGAGTCTAGCCTCCTTTGTGTTTTGGGGGATTGGGCACAGAACTAGTACCCTAGGACTGCTCAAGGAACAGGCTCAGACTTGAAGGCTCATAATATAGTTTCCTTAACATAAATAATTACAGGGTGATGCCCAAAGAACACCGAACTCAACAAAATTCTGTACTCAAAGTTTGCATTTTTCAGACTTTCTGACTGCCTAGAGGAAATCCCTTTTCACACAGTGCCCTGGAATGCATTTTATATGTAGTTTTGAAATGCAGAAATAGCTATATCCTGGTTGGCACCTGGCACAGGGAACCAAAGAAAGCAAGCAGCAACGCAGAATACAAAAACATGCAGTTAGCTGAGGCATTTTGACCTCCACTAGGACTTTCATGTGAGGCATTTCATGGAGGGGTTAGAAAAGTGAGAGTCAAATTGAGGTTAAACTCAAGAGGATGTCAGCAGAGAAAAGATAAAAGAATCTTTGAACTGTCATAAAACTGTACATATGTTCTGAGTAGTGTTATAAATTCCCCACTCCTTATGCTTTGACTTTAGATGTACTATACATTAAGAATTATTTATTGAAGAAAGCTGACCTAGATTCTCTAAGTATATGAACAACACAAATTGAGCTTTATAAAATTTCTCATATTCTTCTTTTTTCTTTGGAGAGAGTTCAGAAGAATTGGAGTAGACCTGGAAAGACAAGAAAATGACTGACTTGTTCAGGATGAATTATCAAAGTTCCCAAGTATTCAATACAAATATTATATTGAAAAGAGTTCTTTAAAGAGTTGCTTTAAGTTTTGTTGTTGTAATTGAGGATAATTACTAGCAAATATCTGTATATTCTGAAAGTCTTGCATTATATTTATTCATTTGGGCTGTCACTTTTCCTTGTTTCTCACAGCTTGCATCACATCATTTTGTGTTCCTCATTTTGTAGGAAACTTATTGGATACCTTTCCTTCAATATATACATTCTCAAGTGCTGAGAAATTCACAGTGACAAACATAGCAAGTAATGACTATTGTCAAAATTCTCAGGATGAGGTGTTTTTATGTGGTCTAGGATGGCCGTGTACTCCTAACTTTAAAGAACCTTCTGTTTCAGCTTCTCTGTAGTTTCATGGATTAATGATGTCTTTCTTTACCACAGGCTAAATCAATTCACCATTGTTCACTTGTACAGAGAAGTAGTGTGGTCATACTCTACAGGAAATTTTGCTGAATCATAAAATGGACTTCTGGAATCTGGCAATCAGAATAATTTTCTTATCACAAATTACAATAGGAATTGTAGGAAATGTTTCTCTTTTGTTCCATTATCTAGTCCTTTATTACAAAGAATGTACATTAAAGCCCACAGAGTTGATTCTCACGCACCTAATGGCAGCCAATATCATAATCATTTTCTCTTCTGGAGTGCCCCAAACAATGTCCATTTGGGGGTTGAAGCAGTTCCTGAATGATTTTGGATGTAAGCTCCTATTGTACATTCATGCAGTTGGTCGAAGTGTGTCCATTTGCACCACCTGCCTTTTAAGTGTCTTCCAGGCTATGACCATCAGTCCCAGGAAATTCTGTGGGAAGGATCATAAAGCCACAATTGAGAAGTACCTTGGATATTTCATTTCCTTCCTTTGGGTTATGTACATCTTGGTAAATTTTATTTTCCTTTTGTACACATTTATCAAAAAGAATAGCAAAAATGAGACAAGAAAACGTGATTTTGGATACTGTTCCACTCTAGGAAGTGATAAAATCAGTGACTCACTCTACACAGCATTGGTGATGTGTCCTGAAGTCTTCTTTTCTGTTCTCATTGCATGGTCTGGTGGCTCCATGATTGTCATTCTATACAGACACAAGCAGAAAGTTCAATACATCTATAGCACTCATGTTTCTAGGAGAGACTATCCTGAGTCCAGAGCCACTCAGAATATCCTGGCACAGGTGTTTACCTTCTTGGCTTTTTATACTCTCTCCTCCATCTTAAGAGGCTCCATTGCTCTTTTTTCTAATCCCAGTTTGTGGCTGATGAACATCAATCACCTCACTTCTCTGTGTTTTCCATCTTTTGGACCCTTTGTTCTTATGAGTCATTACTCCATTGTTTCCAGATTCATTTTTGTCTGGTTAAGAAAAAAATTATGTTCTATTTTTTTATTATAACTATATGAAATATGAGTTTTTTCTGTTATCAAATTTTATACTCATTTATCACCTTAATAAATCAATAAAGAATATTAAGAAGGTAGGACCTTGTCCTTCTAGAATTAACCAAAATTATCATGGGAGTTTTGACAGGTGGTTTATGTAGTAGCCTACATTAGCTGATCATATTGTATGTGGCCCATTGTATCCTTCAACTTACAGCTACTGGAGTTTTTCATTGCCCAGATTATGCACAATCAGCAGGTAAACCAATTTCCCATAAAACTGCCCTCCTTGTGGCTTTCATCCTGTTATGATTCTTGGATGCTTGCCCATTTCACAGTCATATTTTGAGTACCAGACTCCAAATGCAAGGAAAACTGAAACCATGGCTCCCATAAACTTGTGCTTCAGTTGGCCCTTGTACCAGGAGAACTAATCTAGTCTGAACCAGTACCAGAAAACTGCTTCAGTGATAATTTACCAGGTATCTTTTTCAATTGCTTCAGAAAAATTCCTACTTGGCTTTTCCTAAACCTGTAGCAACTGTCCTTAACAAAGACTGGGAAGATGTTCATTTCTCCTAGCCACTTAGTTAAAAAAAATTGTGATCTGTATCACTTACCTTGTACCAAAATCAATTCAAATAAATGATGATTTTTAAGCGGCCTTGAATTTTGTTTGCTCATGTTTTTCTCTTTTTTCCTCTTTTTAAATTGAATATAGACTTTTTTCTTATACAATACCATCTAAGTAGAATTTCCTCTCACTTTATGCATATAAGTTGCTCCCCAGTTCTTTTCCCACCTGGATTGACTCTATTTCTTTCTTACACTAGAAAAAAAACAAGCTTCTATAAGATAAACAGGATTAACAAAAGAAATACTCTAAGATCAAACGAAAACCATCATGTTGAAGTTGGACAATATAAGCCAACAGAAAAACATAAGGGCCTCAAGAGAAAGCATGAGTCAGAGAGCCACTTGTTTCTATATCCAGGAGTGCTATAAAAGTATTAAATTGAAAGATATAGTGTATATGCAGAGGACCTCATGGAGACCATGTGTGTAAGCACTGTGATTGCTGACTCAGTCACTGTGAGTTCATATGATCTTTGTTCAGGTGTTATAGAAGACATTGTCCTTCTGATGCCCATTTTCCACTTAGTGTGTCTCACTTCTTTGGCCACTTTTCAGCGAGGTTCTCTGAATTATGAGAGGAGAGACTTGATAGAGACATTACATTTACAGATGTGGGTTTCAAGGTATCTCTGTGTAAGAACATCTAGTTCTTTGTCTCTCTGTTCTGATCTGCTGCAAATAATTCACTCTGATGATGTCTGAATAAGGTACTGATATATGAATAAAAAAGAATATCATATCAGTAGGAGACATTTTATAGTATTTTATTTTACTTATTTATTTTAGATCAGTAGTATTTGCTTTTACCCTATGACTGTGTGTGATATATAGACTCTGGATCCTGGTTAATCAAGAAGTGTCAGGTGTGGGTCTTAATTCATGGAGTGATATTTCACTCATGTCAGATATCAAGTGATTATTCTTACATAGTTTGTGCCCACTATCACCCAAGCATATTTTGCAGACAGATAGGTCAAATATATTGTAGTTAGGTTGGTGTTTACTTTTCTCTTTTGTACTCTACAGAATACACGTTTATGTCATAGACACAAGAACATAGGTTGAAGGTTCAACACAGACACTAACTGGACCTCTCCATATTTAGTGAGTTGTGTGTGTGTGTATGTGTGTGTACATGTGTGCATATGTGTTGTCTTCACCACTGGGACATGGCTCTCAATTTTTGGAGATCAGCCCATTTTCTTGTCAAAATCTTGGGAGTTGGGAGGATATCCATGGATGCTTTTGGGCCAACAACTCAATTGGATGTAATTCAGCCCCAGTTTTGTTTGAGAACATGAGACTAAGAGTTGATGTTCCTTCTCCTTCATTATTTGGAGAGTTGTTAGAATCATATCTATATATTGTAGGAAGTTTCCACAGAATTAGCTTTCAGTAATGCCCATCAAATGCCTTTCAGTTCTAGCTGTTTCTCCCCTCATTCTCTCTCTCTATCTCATCTCTCTCTTACCCTTCCAATCTGTACCTTCTACTCTTTTCCTTCTTTTCTCTTTGGCTTCAGTCCAACAATAACACCTTTTCCATATCCCCCAACAGAGATATATTGGTCTCTCATAGTACCTTCCTATATGCCTATCCTATCTGGGTTTATGGATTATAGCTTGGTTGTCATTCATTAAAATTCTCATATCCAGATATAAGTTATTACATACTTATTCACTTTCTGCTTCTGTATTTTCTCACTTATAAAGATTTTCTCCTACCACTATCCATTTGCCTGCAAATCTCAAGATATCATTTTTAAAGACTGTGTATTACTCCATTATATAATGTACCACATTTTATTTATCAATTGTTCTGTTGAAGCACATTTAGGTTGTTTCCAATTCCTGACTCATATGAGTAGACAAGCAACGAACATTTTTAAGCAATTGTCCCTGGGATAGGATGAAGTGCCATTTAGGTATATGCCTAAGAGTGGGTCTTGAGGAAGATTGAGTCCCAGTTTTCTGAGGAAGTACCATATTTATTTCAATAGGCACTGTACTAATTTGTACTCTTATTAACAATGGTGGAGGATTCCCTTTGGTCCGTATCTTATATCAGATGTAATAGTGATATTAGCTATTCTGGAAGGGGGAATTTGGAATCTCAAAGTAGCTTTGATTTGTATATTTAGAATGGCCGAAGATTTTGATCATTTAAGTGTTTCTCAGCCATTTGAGATTCCTCTATTGAGAATGTATACTCATGGTCAGAATTCATGAGTCATCTTCAATTCCTGGGTGGGTAGTATATAGTGCAGTTGCCTAATGTTACCTGTGTTCCAGAAGTGAATCCTTACTTATAATTCTGAAAACCCAGTAGATTAAGACTAGCCTTAGATGGAAGCATTTCTTTCTTCTGACATTTATTTCCTTTCTCTTGGATGAATACATATTTATTCATGTCACCATATATAATGTGCCACCACATAATCTTGCACACATGCTATCATAAGGATGCTTAAAGTCATTGATTAGTACAGCATCTAAACACAAATAGAAGCATTTGTTGATTTGTCAGCAGTGCCTGATCTAGAGTAAAGATATATTTGTTCATGAGTCTTCATAAATATTCACACAATTATCTATAATCATCCTCACAAATTTGACATTAATCAATAACTTCAAATATATAAGAACACTACTAGTAAATTTAACAACCCAAAGTTTCAGAATTTTATGAAGTAGTGCACATGAATAGAAGCTTTATTTACTCACTTTCTTAAATTCTAAAAGAATTAGTGCATGTGGTATATAATTTTCAAATGAATTTGAGAAAAACATACAAACACTGGAAATATAACAGTGATTAATAACCAGTGTATATTCTCTAAATACCAATGCATATCATAGTGATATAAATATCATCAAAAGAATAATATGATAAATTCTACATATTGCCAGAAATATTCTTAGAGACAATGCAAGATTATACAAATGCTTTTGATTTGTTTCAAGAAAGAAACTTGTGACTTAAAAATGTTAATATGGGTGCATAGGAGTATTCAGAGGTCACATTAATTCTCTTACTCTTTACTCAAATGTACAAAAAGGAAATATATATTCTATGTTAGACTATAGAAATGATGGTTACATAGGATTACAAAACATTGAAAATCAACATTTAAAAATCCAATGAGATGAAATGTCAGGATCATACTCACGAAGTAGATTCAGAAGAGGTGAAGGCATGAACTAGTAATCATGTGGGAAAGTTGACTGAATAAATTAACACAAAGAGAGGTGCATCAGGAGGGAAAAAAGGAGTATCAGAGTACGAGTGTAATCCACAAAGAATGATCCATAAGATAGGTCAAGAACCCATTAGGTTGTGAATTTTCCTCATTCAGGTTTTTACACAAATCAAACAGTAAAATGGAACGCTTACATTTTCTACTGTTCCTCATGTTCATAGAGATGAGTCACATGCCCATAAGTCAATGCCCTCTGCTGCGGAAGGAGAATGGTAAATTGCTCATCTAACAAGAATTTTGATTGATTTGATTGAACATTTTTATGTCCTAAGAGAATCAAGAATATATAGAAAGTAACAGCAAACAGTGCAATAATAATAATATCAATAACACTGACAATTGTTGGAGATTGGTTCTAATGCTTTGAATTAATTGGGCTCCCAAAATCTGGAATCTGCATGCCTAAATGTTGAAAGTTTTGTCTCCACTTGATTTTTGATGCATCAATAAAGAGCAAAAAAGCCATTGACTGGTCAAACAGAGTGAGGTGGGAAGTTTAGATTTGTGTAGGCTAGGAACTGCAGAAAAGGAAGGGAGAATCACCATGACTCAGGGGAGATGGATGGGATATAAGAGCTGCAGGAGAGAAAGCCAACCAGCCGTATATGAATTTGGATAAGTGGTCACTGACCACTTCCCTGATTGGGCCTGAAGTAGCAAGGGACAACATCTTGATATGTCTCATCAGGCTTCTGCATAGCTGTAGAAAGTTTCTCTGTCTTTTTTCCAGTATCTGGTAAGTTATGCCACTCAGGTAATGCCAGAATATTGATTTGCCTGTAAGCCCAGGGAGGATATGTGATCCATCACTGGTGATCACTAGATATAACTTCTCCTGTTACCATTTCAAAAGTCATGGCCATATTTTTGTTGATCTCTAATAGCTTGATCCTAACATATTTTTGAGTAATCAGTCTTTTATAGTAAACATTTACACCCAGTAATACTATCTTTGCTAAGATCTTCCAGTCATTGTCAGGAAGAAAAGGAACCCAAAAATAGTATCAAGGAGAGATATTGTAAAAGGAGCAGTTAGTCCATATTGATCACAAGCCTGCTTAAGATTTCTAACTTATTGCTCAGGGATATTAGTATTAGGCATTTCATTCCTCAGTAAG